GATACTATGGGTCAAAACAGTTCAAACTGTTCTTAAAGGAGCAATAAAAGGGGAAGAAAATTCAAGATATAGGACAAATTCTTAAAAATTAAATTCTAAGCACAAAGTCAAGACTAACTTAGTGGGGGAATAAAAGGGGAGACATCTGATGAGGTCAATTTAAGAAGTTTTCTGACCATTTCATGAGCACACATACAAATTAGCTGAACTTTGGGAAATAATACAATGGGAAAAATGTCTATTTTTTTCATGCTCTGGTTAAGGTAAAAGATAATCACATAGACTAGACTGATCATGGTAGGAGATAGTGGAACACGATGAAGAAGAGGTAGCAATATGCCTAGTTTGACTCTGAAAAATGAAGGAGACATGGAATTTTAGTTTAGGAGGTTAGACTGAACTCCTTAAATGAATTTTTCCAGACTCACGTGAACCATACCCTGCAGTATTTAATACAATCATTACAGAAGCAGTTTTGTTATCTTGATGACCTCCTAGATATTTAAAACAAGGCTTTGGCAAGGCCAGCATAACTCCTGCTCTGACTCAAAGGTTCTCTCATACTGGGTGAGCTACATTGGTGGAAGCTTGGCCTTACTCCTCTGGTCAGAGCTGGCCATCCTGCCCTGAAGACTGCCCATCTATAAGCAAGCTAAATCCACATCTTTGCTGTCAAGCTCAAAGAGATGAGCCACCTGCACCGGAAATTTGTCACCAAGGGAGAGTCCACCTGCCAATCCCTTGAGGTAAATGGTCATGTAGTCATGGGTGGAGTGGCCATGTCAAAGCTCAAATTACGAGGCTGAGTAACTCAGAGGAAGCCTCTGGAGAGAGAGGGAAATGGATGGGAAGAGTCAGAGAGAAAGAACAAAGCCTTAAAGGAGAAACACTGGGGAGTGCACCTAACTGCCTTTGTTCTGGGCTATTCCCGGCTCTTTAGCCTATCCTGTCTATCATGAGGTCCCTTACCCTCCACACATCCTCCATCCCTACCCAAACATTAATCCTTTTCACATGGCTCAGACTGCATGTGTTTAAGTACCAGCAATCAAGAGCATACACCAGACCAGGGAAAACTGGAAAAGATTTGTTCTGGAATCTCACGGATGAGTATATCAACAGTGATGCTTGAAAAAATTCCAAATCAGACACTAAAAATATTTTTCAACATGTATAAAGAAAAATGTGATTGTGATAATGACCACTTCCTTAAAGAAGAAATCATGCTAAGACAATATAAATTTCTCTCTGCAAGAGTGTCAGTAAGCAATAGAACTGAGGACCCTCAGACACACACTCCTGATCCCAGCAAGGGTGACAGAAAGTAGTGAATGTGCATGGCCTGTCATAACCAAGAGCGCCAGCCCAGAGTCACAGTGGCCTGGGGTATAGCCTGGCTCTGTCACTGGCAATCTCTGTAACCATGACAACCTGTACCTGCCTGACTTTTCTCAACTTCACGTGAGAATAATATTTTCTCCTTTCACAGTTGCTGTGAGAGTTACCTAGAAAACAATACAGACTCAATAAATAGTTGCCATTATTATTACCTAGTTGTTTAAATAGTGCTAGTCCCAAAGCATTTAATAGTAGTTCTTTTAACCAAAAAGAATCTAACACTTTAGAGTGTCTGAAAGATGTGCCATCTTTTGTAATATTTTTATTCATTATTTTTGAAGAAGTAGTAGGTCAATGGCCAATGGCTCTATGTGCAAGTTGATGGTTCTCTAAAGGGCAATGAATGAGGGTTTGGGGGAACTAGGAATGGTGAAATTCTTGGAGTCAAATATAACGTACTAGGCATAATATCCTTTTAGATTTTCAAACTGTAAGCTAAAGCGATGAATCCATAACATTCACGGAAGAGTGGCCTAGAGATTACAGATCTCCTTACAGGACAGTATTATAACTCGGCTAACAGTAAACGCCATTCCACATGGACTTGTAATACCAGAAGTATCTGAGCCAGATACCATAATCCCAGCTCACTGGGCCCTGAGCAGTGCACGGGAGTGTTGAATCTGGTTCTGGAGGGCCACATTTTAGGAGGCACTGACATACCAGAGGACAGGCAGAAGAACACCTCGTAAGAAAGCTTGTCACGTGAGGACTATTGGGGAAGTGAAGGGTGGGTGCTGGAGAGGAGAAGCCTAGGCTTAGTCTGGATGAGAACTAGAGAGAAGCAGCCATGACTCGCTGCTTTGTTCCGAGGACTCAGTCGGTGCTCACCCTCTCCCTCCCCCTTCATGCCTCTTCACCCTGAGGTCTGGCTCCTGCCACCACACAAACACTGCTCACAAACTCACTCATGCCCAAAGGACACTTCTCACCCCGATCTCTCTTGACCACTCAGGAGCATCTCAACATGTTGATGCCTGTTCCCTTCCAGTACTTTCTCTTCTTTTGCCTTCCACGACACAACCATCTCTCAGGGTTTCTCCTTCTCCTCACCTCACACACGCTCTTTGCCTGACCTGGGCTTTCTGTACGTCTCTGTGCTGATTTCTCCCAGATCTCTCACTTGTCTGTGTATTCAGTCATGTATTAGAAATATCCTCTTCCACACGGGCTCAAAAATGAAAAAGTGAAACCAAGTTGTAAAGTATAGATAGAACCCTTAAGGTTAATGTCTCCATGATTACATGGACAATATGGTCTTACTCCTTTAAGAAATGACCCCTCCTCCAACTGAATATTTTATATCCAAATTGGATACATGTTATTTTGCCCAGAGAACAAAAAAATTAAAGGTTAGATTTGCTTCCCAATGCGATCCTTACCAACCCACACCTCGCAGCAAGGTTAGGCAATCTGACTAGTACCTAATCAAGTCTTTTTATAGTTTCAGTTTCATTAATTCAAAATAACTAGATTCTGGCTCCAGTATTAGCCACTCAATTAGGAATTGGCTAAGTCGCTTGAAAAAAAATCCAGTTATTAAAATAATAGAAGTCTGATGTTTGTGCTTGTGACTTTTCTCCTCTTAAGGGGTTATTTATGCTTTTCAAATTTCCACCATAGATCAGCCACTGTAGCTATTGCTCTGGTCTTGCCCCTTGGCTTACAGAGATGGAAAAAATCTCCTCCCTTTGGCAACCATGTCATTCTTTGGAAAGCCTTTCTGAACTTCTGGTTCTTATTTTGTATTTTTGCTGCTTTCACCATCAGTGTTGCACGAGAGAAATGGCATGCCTGTAACACGACAGACACATCAACTGCAGAGGCCTCTAATTAGCTGCCCTGCTGTTGTGGGAACACGTATTTGTATTTGAGTTTTCAAACTCCTCTAAAAATTACCTGGTGAGCACTTATTACCGTTCCATCCTCAAGTGAATCCAAAGTAGAGTCCAGTCCTGCAAATTGTTCATCTCCTTTCCTTTTCCTCCTCATTCTCTCTGCCAATTCCTCCTTTCAAGTCTACTTCAAAAGCTTACTCCTCTTTCTAGCTTCCCCCACTGAACTTTATCAATCACAACTGTGGTGCATAGCCATACTCTGCAAGGTCGTGTTTTTGATTTTGGTTCATGCTGAGTTGTAGGACTGTACTGAATATGTTGGGCTGTACCAAAAGGCCAGTTGGGAATTCCATTCTTTGGCATTCAAAATAGCTATCAATAGGCTGATGTTATAATATGCTGTGATATTCAATTTAACCTGAACTCTGTGTGTGTGTGTGTGTGTGTGTGTGTGTTTGTTTACAGCACTGAGGATTGAACCTAGGGCCTCTCACATGCTGAGCAAAGTACTCTACGACTGAGTTACATACCCAGACCTAATCTAAACTTCTTGAACTCTTTTAATATCCCAGTGTATTAGTACCTGAGATACAAAGCTAGTAGGAGACAATTCATATCTTCAAGAAGCCCACAGTCTAGTAGTGCGTGAGGACAATCACAACAGGTAAAAATAGATATGATCAAGTGTTGTGTTTGAAAGGGCTTTGAAAGTAACTTTTCTGCCTTTTTCTAAAAGAGGAAAATGGGAAAAATGTTCCAATGTCATCCAAGGAGGTACCTGTCACATCAGAAACAATTTCTAGTGAAAATATCATATGTAGATTCAAAAAGTATTACATATTAACAAAACAGATGGAATAAAGATGATATAAGACAATTCAAGAAATTATTTATGAATGATGAAAAATAAATGTTAATCTATGTAAATAGTTTGAATAAAATTATTTTTAAAAGTATAAAAGTAGAAACCAATATATCTAAATTAATGTTTATGTAGTATGAAATTTTATATATGAATGGATATTCCAATATTATAGCAAGTAAAATAGGTAGCTGCCTAACTTTTCAATCTGTAGGCTTAAAGTTATATATGCAAGTTAGTGAAAAAGCTTTATTAATAAAATTTCTCATAATTAAAATAGCAGATCTCCTTAAACACTAGGTTGCCTATTACTCAAGTAACTTTTATTGTATAGCATTTCATACAGAGTTGAATAACTACTACTCTGGTCAAACTCTGGTCAATTTTTATAACAAGCAGAAAATTCCATTTTACCAAAAGAAAAAAACCCTGAAATGAACCTAAATTTTAAAATAAAAATGAGAATCAAAAATAAGATACTGAGTACCAAGCAAATTAGGTATTCTATAAATCAAAGATATTCAAACATCTCCTGTCTCTTACTTATAAGAAAAAAATATTAAAAACAATCAACAAAATATAGAGGTTATCTCTGCGCTTGTGGGTAATTTAAACAATATGTGGTCAATTAGTCTATAAGTTACAATGAAACCTAAAAATATAGATACTTCCTATATATGGTTTAGTAGCTTAACTTCCTGTATACATTTTAGTACCTTAATATTAAAATGATACAGTGAAAGAGACATGAAATACACCTGTTCAAATATAGTGGGTGGTTGATGTATTATAAACACATAGGGTAGGATCTTTAGGGATTTGATTCTAAAAATAAATGAGTTCCAGTTTGGTATGCCTACTTGATCTGAAAATGCAGTGATTATTGAATCCAGAATACCTACCTCTAAGTAATCCATGGAACAGTTTGTGTAATATTCCAAATCAAATGCTGCAAATGTGTAGTTCACGGTGTTGCCTCTTGTTGCTTGGATGGTCCAGCTGCAACGCTGATTTTCAGAATAGGGATTTGGATAATTTATACTCTCCAGGATGCCATAGGTTTGATTAACTATTACCACATTCTCACATCCTGAAAAAAATAACAAGGACTGTTAAGAACTGCAATCATACATATATATATATATTATATATATATATATCATAATTGATCCAAAGTGAGTGTGAGATTCTGCTTTGAGAAAACATCTGGATTAAAAAATATATAAACATATTTATTTAGTGCAGCAGCTTTATAATGAGTCTCCATTGCAATTAACATGAAATAATACTTAAGTGAATTCAAACTTTAAAATATCATTAAAAAATTGAATAAGCTGTGTTAAAATAGGGATCAAATTCCAGTGAATTTGTGGACAACAGAATAACTTAACTCTACTCAGAGAGCAGTCTGATTTTATTTTTAGTGAAGTGTTTTACACATTCTGGGCTTCTGTTCCTGTGGCTTTAACATTTGGAAGAGAAAAACGTCTCTGATCTTTGAATTCAACAGTTTGAAAAATATGAAGTCCTATGTGAATGCTAAAGATGAATAACAACATGGTTTTTTGAACATTCAAATATCTGCATGAAATTCACAACAAAGGCTCCGTTCTCCCTCTAGTTACTCATCAGGAAGTACCAAGAGAATAGAGGAAGCTTCAAAGATTTGGAGTAGAAACAAAAATCTTAAATTTTGAAGAAAAGGTTTTCAATCCAGTGGTGGCATTTTCTTGAGCTAAATTTTCCAGAAAACCATACTAGGTACCCTTAGATATGTCCACTGCCAAATTCAGCCAATCCTAATGACTTGGTAAATGCCTAAGTATGCTTTCTGGAAAGTCTTTTTCATATTGTCTTACGATGTGGAATAAAAGACAAAGGGAAAATAACATTACATTGAAAGAGTTGTCTCTGAAAAATGTGGTCATAGTAGACATTTCTGTAACAACCGTGCTTTCTGAAAAGTGGCTTGAACACCAGTTATAAATTTTGGTTTGGAAAAGTAGGCACTTGTGGCTCTTCAAAATCTTCCTTTGCTGGAACAGGGTTAAAACTCAAACTATTTCTCTTTAAAAACCCATCAGGTTACAGTATTTTCCATAAAGCCTTTCCAAAGAGTAGTTTTGTTTAGATATGCCAATAACTTGGGCAAAAGTGAACCCTGGGTCACATGGTCTGGTCTTGGTTCTCACAAATTACATTATTTACAAACCTTTAATTTTTAAGTTACACATGTTAGACAAAATTTGCCCAATTAGCTCTGATTTTAACATTTAAAGACCAGTAATCCCTTCCTTAAGCATTCTGAGAAACTGAGAGAAAAATAAAACATTACAAGATTTAAAAAGAAAAGGAGAGACCTTTGCCTAAGCAATCTTGTAGCCAAGAAACACATGAGCAAACCAATAAAAATGGAAAAAGTGATTTTAAGTTAAACCAAACGGCTATATCCCTTATAGAACTTGAAAGTGCTTTTCATGTACATACTAATAATAAATTTCTGGAGAAGAAAGCTACCTATTAAAACATAGTATTTACACTATTTAGAATTCAACCTAGCTCTCAGAGATAAGTGAATGTGAATCTTCACATTCATGAGTAATCAAGACTAACCATTAGTACTCTTCCAACTAATCCAAGGGTACTGTACATTTGGAATGTGATTTTCTGACTTTTAATTGTTTTTAGATAATTGTGTAAAAATTATGGATAAATTTAAATTTAATGAGGTAAGCAATTATGCTTTCAAAACACAAGCAAAAGGTTTATTAAGGAATATAAAGTCAAAGAAACCGAGTTTTTGTGAATGTTTCTTTTGAAACTAACTTCAAAAAATATTTAATTCTAAAGGTGAAAAGAGGTTTTGCGATCATCTAACTTAATCGCCCCATTTTAGAGAAGAAATTTTGGAAAACCAGAGAAGGAAATTGACCTTCTCAAGGATAAGACACCAGGACACACCCTAGACCCTTTGTATTTGAGGCTCCTTGACTTGTGCCACTTGCATTGTGGAGAAGGAAGATTTTGAAACGGTCCAGAATTTTCCATAGTATACAAGGTACACACTGCACGTGACTCTCAAGGAGCACAATATCTCTTAATAAAACTAAGATACTTTTTAAAGTAGAGGACAAAACCTAGGGTGGGAGAGTACTTGAGCAATGAACTAATTTTTAAATAGGAGATTGTAATGTGTGATACAGATTTTTAAAAACTATTCACTTCAGCTCTTACATTGATCTTTAGTTGAGTTGTAATATGTCAGCATATTAGTCTTCCAAGTTTCTATGGTTTGCTAGAGGCCTTAGTTGGATGAGATTACATTTAATACATATGCATCTCTCCTGAAAATGATGTTGACATTTCCACATAAGAAACCAAGATTAATTTCAGTACTTCAAACCAATGGATTATACTCATCTCAGTTTGCTTCATGAGGAGCCTGAAGGCCCACTCTAGGCCCATGAACTGCTGGAGCACGTACTTACTCTGTGAGTACTCGACCTCAAAGCCGCCTCCTTGCTGACCTTCGTCAGTCCTCAGCTTCAGTAGCATGCTGTCTCCACTAGATCGGATGCGAGGGGGTTTTGCATCCCCACAAAGCTTGGTGAGCAGATGAGAACTGGTACTTGGGCCATCGTATACCTTTAACAAAACATTTTACATATCAGATGGCCATGGCTTTAAATGTTACCTAAAGGACTTGAGGAAAGAAGTGGAGAAGATACATAAATACAACAAAAATAGTCCTGAAATAAAGCATCTTTAAAAATTATACTGAAATGCCTTTAAACTCAGGCCATAAGCTCAGACAATTTAGCCACCAGTATGTATGGTAGTAAGTATGCAAACTAGGTTGAAGTCTGAACATTGAAAGTGAAAGACTAATACACTTTTTAAATCCATGGCTGATAGCAATTGTCCTCCTTCCTTTCTGGTTCCATAGTTTATAACTCGTGAAATTTCAATACATTTTAATATACTGTATATTATATATACATATGTACATATACATTAGTTATATACTGTCTGACAATTACAAATTTCTGATATTGTAAAAATGTTCTAGTTGGATATCTTTAATTATATTGCCTAACTCACCAAAATAGTTCTCTAAATTGATATTTTTCAATGCATATGTAGAAATTATGTAGATCATACTTAAATAAATTCCAAAACCTTTTTAAGGATATTTATTTTAATATCTTAACAGTTAATATCAAAATGTTTTAAATACTTTGTGTATTAAGCCATTCAGTACATAGTATACTTAGAAGACTGTCATTTTTATCAAATTTCTTCTGAGATTTTTATTTAATTTAAATTTCACATGGAACATTCAACTTAAATAGGCCTTCATGAATTTCAAAAATACAAATCAGTGCATTATGTGCATTGTATGAGATAGGAGCAGTGGATACACAACAGAAACATTATACATACATCCAGATAATCCAAAGAGCAGTTGAGATGATACTCCAAGTGGAAGTCTTTGAAGGTCAGTTCAAACGGGCTGCCATGGCTGGATTTCAGCCACCAGTAGCACTCAGAGCTGTGGTAGTAAGGCATCGGGTAGTTGGGAGATGTGAACATGCCCGTGGAAGTGGTGAGGTTGCCCCCACAACCTACAGGAGAAAGATATGGAATAATGCACACCTTTTCTTTCCGGTAAAAGCAGAATTTCTTGTCTATATACAACTGGTGTTACAGTGCTCCTCTTTAAATCAAGATGCAATGTAAAACTGCATCACGAAAGAGTAGCCATTCTATGATTGCAGTTCTATAATCATATCAGTGATTACTTTTTCTAATCAAGATGTTCAGCTTGATGAACTATGCCAAGGAGCTAGAACTTTTCCCTTTTCTCTTTCAAAATACATGGCTGCTATTAATTGAAAACATCATCAACATTAAAGTTCATTACGAAGAACAATGACAAAATATAGCTAGAAAAAAATGCATCAGTGATAATGAACAGAGAATGACAATTCAAGAATCAAGAAATTAATGAATTTGGATTCTCCAAACTGTTTTCTATTCACCTGTTAATGATCCATCCCAGGAAGCTGAGAATCCAGATTTTGACAACACAGAATCACTTTTAAATTTTAACCACAGTTTGTTACTGTGGGAGATGATTCTTGGGGGTAGAATTGAGCCACAGAACTTTCCCACAAGTGGTGAATTTTCATAGCCTCCATCCCTGTGACAGAATGCAGATATGAAAATTTACTAGGTTATTGACGATATTACTGGATAAACATTTAACATAATTTAAACTACAGGATCATAAATAGATCATTTCATCTGATCAGTCAGCTTCTCTCAGAATTACTTTTAGAAAGCACAATTTCTAGTTTTTATTTTTTTCTTTGTTAAATAGGATTTGAATGACTTAATAAACAATATCCATTATTTATGACTGGCATGGCATCTTATTACTAGCTGTAACCTGAGAAAATGTGTTTAATCATCACCTAAGAGTCTTTGGCAAATATGTCAAAAATTCAGAATATAGAAACCATAATTATAAGCAGCATCAACAAATATTGCTTAATTTGACAAAGAAATTTTAGTTTTCTTTTTAAAAAATTTTTCCAGTACTGGGGACCGAACACAGAGAGCGTTGAGGTACACTTCCAGTCCTTTTTACTCTTTTGTTTTGAGACAGGGTCTCACTTAGTTGTCTAGGGTGCCCTTGGACTTGTGATCCTCCTGTCTTAGCTTCCCCGGTAGCTGGGATTACTGGCATGAGCCACCATACCTGGTAAATTTTTCCCTTCTAATATCCTTGGAAATTCTCAAAAGTTAATGTATCAATTTGATATATTTGGCAAAATTCTGGAAATAACTCCTTCCCTACCATGGGGCCTTAAAACTAGTTTATAATCTGTAGTGTTTTTCAAATACAAATAAGTAAATAAATAATTCAATATTAAAGTTCAATGATTACTTGATATCAATTAAAATTGTCATTTTAGTATGATATGGTACAACTCCATTACCTTTGTATCATATAATAAATGTTATAAGATAGTAAAAGAGTTCAAATGCCTCATATAATACAGCTTACAATGAGACATTGGAAGGCTCCAGTTTTAAAATGCCAAATAAAAAATTTGATTGAGATATATATATAAATAAGTAGCCCAATTTACTTTGATGTAATGATATGGTGAGATATCAATGTATGATATCTTTCTGTTGTATATAGCTCTTACATCACATTTTTTCAAAGTGCCAAGTAATGAAAAAAATGCCTCATACTGAAATTCACAAGCTTTAACTTCTATTATTGAAAATAAAAAACCTCCATGAAAACTTTAAAAGTTGCTGTCATTTTTGTGATATAATTATACTAAGTGGTCAGTAAACAGTCTAAAATTTAAATTGATTTTACATAAAGAAAGTAGGTATTCTACAATACCAAGTAACTCATTTCAAAGTAGGAGTACTTCTGTTTTCTTTGCCCAAACAAAATCTGGCATTTATTTTCAGATATTTCTAATAAAGTAATTACTTTAAAATACCTATTAAATCTTTTGTAATTTTTCTATATCATACTTCAAGTGATAAATTTTATCTCTTACAAGAAGTACACACCAAGGAGATTTACAAAGAATTTCCATATTTTTCCTTAATCTTTCCAGGAAAGATTATTTATGAAAATAAATAATGAAATAAAGATGCTTACCTGATTTCCACAAAATCTGTTACACAGTTTCCACTCATGCCATCTTCCAAGGAGAAGTTGGTGAAGTGCAATGCAATCTGTTGGTTAATTTCTACTGTAATCCTATAAATGCATTCATAGTCATGAGGGTAATGATTGGGGAAGTTTGGAGAAGTAAATGTCCCAGAATTAACTGTGTAGTCTTCTGAGCATGCTGTGAAAAGAAACAGACCATCTAAGAGAAAATAGAAAACACTATGCTACATTTATAACACATTCAGCAAAACATACTTCACTAATTTGTGCCAATGGACTTGATTTTTACATTTATTCTAGAATGTTCGAAGAATGATTTTATTTTGAAACAAAGTTTTTGAAACCTTAAAGGTAAAACAATCATTTACAGTAAACCATAGCTATGTGGTACAAGTTGTAACCTATTACCTATATTTTGAGAAAACTTTTTTTGTCTTAGAAGTGTAATTGTTTTTTCTAATCCATGCAAATTACCATAAACATTAAAAAATTAGGTTCAGTTACAGAAATCTTAGAGATGGCTTAGTAATAATCCAGTTCCCTAATGAAATCCAGGATACTATAAAATGGTATCTTCAGTGCTCTGGAATAAAGCAACTGCTTCCCCAGTGTTATGTACAGAGATTAAAATACAAGTAACTTATTTGATGGAGAAAGCTAAAACCCAATTCCAAAACTGAACAAATGCAAGAAAGTATTACTTATTTACTTACAAGAAAGTAATATAAATACTCATTTATGCATGTTGATGCAGAAACTCATAAATAAATTGTAATCAAACTGAGACCAGATATATATATATATATATATATATATATGAAAATATATCACAATTTACATTTTCCCCCAAATCCAAGATTTGTTTCACATTGGAAAAAGTCATGCTGGCCGGGGATTTAGCTCAGTGGTTTTGCTGCCTGCTGCGCAAGCACAAGGACCCGAGTTCGAGCCCCGGTACCAAAAAAAAAAGAAAGAAAAAGTCATCCTAATTAACCACTTTAACAAAATAAAGAACAAGTAATACAAATGGCTCGATGAATGAAAAAAAAAAATTTACTAAAATTCAACTTCCATTAATGACATGAAAAAAACTCTAAGCAACCCAGAAATAGAATGTTTTAATCAAATAAAATGTAGTGAACAGGGCCGGGGATTTAGCTCAGTGGTTCCTCCAACATGCCTCACAAGCACAAGATCTCGAGTTCAATCCCTGCTACCAAAAAAAAAAAAAGTAGTGAACTTGAGTGAAATGTGACATGTTTTCCATTTAAAATAGGGATCAGGATAAAGATATTACCTATCAGCATTTTATCATACATTGCTCTCAGGGATGGCGAACCTTTCAGAGCTTTCAATGATACAAATAGCCCACTGCAGCAAGTGTGCAGGAAGGGGAGCTTTGGCTTAGGGACATTTTTGAGCAGCAATGATGAGTAATTTCCTTGTACTTTTCCCATATGCAAGTGATTGTCTCTGTGCAGGGGAGGGGGTTTGTTCATCTCTACTGAAACTTTGATTTGCACACCCAGCTTCTTTTCTGTTTTGGCACAAAGGTAAACTGCACTGTCTTTCATGTTCAAATGATCCTCACACTGTTTACTTGGCCTGAAATGTTTTACCCAACAACCTCTCTTCCTACTCCAACACATTCCTGAATATGTAAACTCTTCCTTGTTATTTAAAGTCAAGTTCAAATATCATTTCTAAGGAAACTCTCCCAGCCAGGCAGATTTTTTGGTAATTTTTATGTAATTATATTTCTTTTACTAGGGCTTAGGATATGAATAAGGCTTTATTAATTATTACTAATTGTGTCCACAATACCTGGCCCAGATTGGGTCCCATTTATTAAAGTTATCTTACATAAATGTGTTGAAAACTGAAGGGAGTGAGACATGGATCTAAGTTCCTCGCATTCGGTCTACCCCCCACCTAGTTCTCCCATGTAGACTACCCTCAATTTTTATTACTGCATATTTCCTTATTTCTCTCCTTCCTATCCTCTGTCCTGTATTGGTTGAAGTTCTTTAATGATTATTTTAAGTTAAAGGAAAGAAGGGAAAAGAAAAAATATGAGAAAAGGAAAAACATGGATACAAAGGTTTTGTAAATAGGGAAGGGTGGAGAGGGGAATGGGAAAAAACAAGAACCAAGATACATCATGTACAGGTACAAGATCCCGATGATGAATGTAACTGTATTGTATACCTAAAATGTACCAATAAACTTAATGGAAAAAAATGATTATTTTAAGTTTATTGAAACTAAATTATAGGAAACTTTGCTTCCAGCCATGATGAGCTACTGGTACTGAATCACCTCTTCTCCTTTAAACAAATATAAAATTGAACAAAATACTGGACAGCAGGAGGTATAAGGTTGTGGCCTTTGATAGAAAGGAAAATATGGGTGAAGCAAGACTCTTGCTTTTCTTGGCTCTGGACCTGGTGAGAACTTCCTGACCACAGTGGGGAGTAGAAGCCCTAGTGAACAACGTCATTCTGAGCTAAGGAAACAGAGATCAGGGTTTAGGCTGCCTGATGGCTGGAACTATAAGGAAAAGCTCCAGAGAGAAAGAAGTGCACAGAGAAGCAAGCCAAATGTCTGGCTAGAGCTCCCTGTAAGTTCCTGGCTGAGCAGGGGCTGGGGATGCAGTGAGACTTCAGTGAGCATGCTGGAGAGTAGATGCTATTAGGCTAGAGGCAAAAACAAGATACTAGAGTCCAGGAAAATTCTAGGAGACTGTAGAGTTCTCTCTGATGCAGAATGCGGACGCCTCATTTACACCCCAGGTATCCAATGGAGACACCAAAAAGGCGCATTTTATGAGTGAAGGTCATGGCCAAGAGCAAGCTTTCTCTAGAGCTCCCTACCAAAGTCTGAGACCTAACAAGCCCTGCAGGGGTGATGTCCCTGGGGGACTGATCTGCTAAGTGAGAGGATCATGGGAAACACCTACAGATTTTCACAAATATGCCTTAAAATTTTAAAAAATGCACAAATTCAAAATAATTGGCCAACTATTAAATTGTCAACAAGTTTCAGATGAGACTCCAGTATCTACAACATATCATTCATCATATCATGTCCAGCATAAAACCCAAACATTACTACTCATTTTTTTTAAATAGAGAAATATCAATCAAGTCAACACAAAAATGGGGTCAATAATCAAGAAATATGTGGTCATAATACAGAAAATAAATGTGATCCTGTCATTCGATGAGGGACCAGATGTTGCATTTAGCAGATGTTGGGTTTAGCAGATGAAGATTTTAAAACAACTATCAGAAATATATTGAAATGCATGGAGCTCCAGTGGCACAATTGGTTAGCATGCGTACTTACATAACAAATATGTTCAAATACATAAAGGAAAAGTCTATGTGAGTAAATGCGTAGGGGATCTTAGTGGGAAAAAAGGAACTTATTAAAAAGAACCATCTGGAAAGAACCATATGGAAATTCTGTAACTTAAAAGTATACCAGTTAGGTGTGCAGGTGTGTGTGCCTACAACCCCAGCTCAGGAGGCCGAGGCAAGAGGGTCACCACAAAGCCAAGGCCAGCCTGGATTACACAGGGGGTTCAAGGCCAGCCTGAGCCGTACAGTGGATCCGGTTTCCAAACAAATAGGAAGAAACAGGGCAAGGGGAAGGGGAAGTGGGAGGGGTAGGGGAAAGGAAAGAAGGGAATGGAATTAATATGAGAAAATGGAAAAATGGAAACAAAGTCTTTGTAAATAGGGAGGGATGGAGGGGTTGAAGGGAGGGCGGAGAAGGGGGAAAAATAAGAACTAAGAGAGACTATGTAAAGGTGCAAATTTCTGATGATGAATGTCATTATACTGTATACCTAAAATGTACCAATAAAATTCATTTTAAAAATCAATTATTTAATCTGAAGAACAAAGAAATATCTGAAAAAAATGCACAACATTCAAAATCCTGGGGAAAAATAACAAGTAGGTTAACACATATAATAATTAGAGACCAAGAAAGATAAGAGAATGGAAATGGATCCAAAAAAAGGGAATGATGTAGTTGCTAAAATTTCCCAAAATATGATGCAAAACATCTACTTAGTACAAATAACTTAGACCCTTCTAAACAGGATAAATAAAATGACACCTGGGGACAGAATCAAATTGTTGGAAAAATTTAAAAAAACATACAAGGATAATGAAAGGTGCCAAATAAAAAAAGATACATTACATACAGGAACACCATGCTGTAAATGACAGCTGCCTTCTAATCAGAAACAATAAAGATAAGAAAACAAAAGGAATATATCTTTAAAGTGTTGACAGGAGGGGAGGGTTAAAGATCCAGCAAAAACATTTTATTTTAAATGAGAGTACATTTTTAGACAAACAGAAGCTCAATGCATTTGTCACTAGAAGACTTGTCTGTACTATGAAATACTAGCAATGTCCAGCTGGCCAAAGGGAAATGATATCAAGTGGAAATGCATATCTACAAGAAACAACAAAGAACACTGAAAATATAAATAAGTGGAAGAATGTGGAGATTAGGTTTCCTTCTCATTATCTCTTTCAAAGAGAATGAATGATTCAAAGCAAAAACAATGGTGAGTAAAATATGGGGCCGGGGATTTAGCTCATTGGCACCACACCTGCCTCACAAGCACAAGGTCCTGTGTTCGATCCCCAGTACCACAATACAACAATAACAACAACAACAACAACAACAAAATGGTGAGGTTTATCAGTTTATCAGATAGATAATATATTAGGAAAAGAAGCACACAAAATAAGACTGTAGATACAATGACACCATTATGAGACAATTCCACTTGTAAAGGGGGAAGAGAATAATGTGAAGTATGAAGAGTGAAATAGTAAGTACAAGGTATAAAGCATAAATCAGTAGTATATGAGCTTAAGAAAACTGCATACTGTTATTCTAAAGCAAACAAAAAGAGAGCTTATTTAAAAGCCATTCAATGAAACAGAATGGAATACTAAACATATGCTGTAAAAAACAAACAAAAAGACAGAAAAACAGTAATAGAAGAGCCAAGTGGAAAACAAATACGATGCCCGCTAAATCCAGTCATATCAATATTACAAATGAGTACAAATGATCTAAATGTTTCAGCTAAAAACAGGAATTATTGATACAAAAGCAGAACCATACCACACGCTGTTTATAATATAT